CCTTGGTATAATTCCAATATTATTAAAAGTATTAAACAAAAAGCTAAATACAGGAAAAGGTTTGCTAAGCTTGGACATCAGTCAGATCTTGAAGAATTTCAGAGACTGCGCCGTTCAATCAAATCTCAAATAAAGAGGGCGTATAATATCTACATGGAGAATGTTCAGAATAGTTTAGTTAGCAATCCAATGAAATTTTGGTCGTTCACGAACATGAAAAATAGTACATCACGAATTCCTGGCGAAATGAAGTATCAAAATAATACGTACTGTCAGCCTCCGATTGTCAATGTATTTGCTAACTTTTTCAGCAGTGTTTACCACCAATCAGACTTAAACGTTGATATCGTTGAGCACGTTAACCATAACATCCATCTAATTTTAGCTCCTATCCAGGATAGCGAAGTTATTTTAGCCATTAGTCAGCTAAAGGATAAGATGACTTCGGGTCCTGATGGTATTCCTTCGTTCCTTGTAAAGGACTGTGCTAGAGCTTTTTCTCCTGTACTTACTCTCTTATTCAACATGTGCTTAAAATCTAATATATTCCCGAATATATGGAAGGTGTCCAAAGTTTGTCCGGTCTTCAAAAATAGAGAAAAATCAGATGTCGAGAATTATCGTCCAATTTCTCTTATATGCATTTTTGCGAAAGTCTTTGAAATAATCTTGTACAATCGCTTGTATCCTTCAATAAAAAATCAAATATCACAAAAACAGCACGGTTTTGTCAGCAACCGATCTACAGTCACCAATTTGGTTATTTTAACCCAATATATTTCTGAAGCTCTAGATGATAACTGCCAAGTTGATGTGATCTATACGGATTTTTCAAAGGCATTTGACAAAATTGATCATGGGGTTTTGTTGATGAAACTTGGTCACTTTGGTCTCTCACTTAGCGCTATAACATTCTTCAGGTCGTATTTGTCAGAGCGAAAACAATTTGTTGAATATAATGGCTTCAAATCTGAAACCTACTTAGCCCCATCTGGTGTTCCCCAGGGGTCCAACTTGGGACCATTGTTATTTTTATTATCAAATGATCTTTGTGAAAGTATGAATGGTCAACAGTTATGCTTTGCAGATGATATGAAGATATATTCATCAATCAGTGACGTGCAGGATTGCTTAGATTTACAGATGCAGTTAAGTAGTGTTAGGATTTGGTGCGATCTCAATAAATTACATCTAAATATAAGTAAGTGCAGAGTAGTTAGCTATAGCAGAAAGAAAAATGTTCGTGTATTCAACTATAATATCGATGGTGTGGTGCTGGAAAGAAGCGATATAGTCAAAGATTTGGGTATTATATATGACCATAAATTAACATTTACTACTTATATTTCGCGGAAAGTTTTGGAAGCCTTTAAGTCTTACGGTTTC